AAATTAAAGGGAGACCATAGGAGACCAAACCTGCTTTCTTTCTGCAAGTAGAGAACTTCTCCATAGGTAAGGCCTTTGTCATCATATCTGAACCATTCTCGTCAGTATGGATTTTCTCTAATGAAAATTTCTTCATCTCCAGCGCATCGCGTATCCAATGATACCGAACATCAATATGCTTTGACATTGAGTGATAAGTCGAGTTCTTGCTGAGATGGATTGCACTCTGACTGTCACAATATAAAATATATTTCTCCTGTGAAAGACCCAATTCTTGTAGGAGTTTCTGCATCCAAAAGAGTTCCTTTGCAGCTTCTGTGGCGGCAATATACTCTGCCTCTGTAGTAGACAAAGCAACACATTTTTGCAATCTAGACTGCCATGACACTGCTCCCCCTGCAAAAGTCATCATATAACCAGAAGTAGACTTCCTAGAATCCACATCACCAGCCATGTCTGCATCTGCAAAACCATCTAACATAGGCTTACCACCTCCAAAGCACAAACAGACTCCAGAAGTACCTTTGATATACCTGAGTATCCATTTCACAGCTTGCCGATGTTCTTTGCCAGGATTAGAGAGGAAACGACTGACCACGCCAACTGCATGAGCAATATCTGGACGTGTACACACCATCGCATACATCAAGCTACCAACTGCAGATGCATACGGAATATTCTCCATTTCTTCTTTGTCTTTCTCACTTGTAGGACATTGCATAGAGCTCAATTTGAAGTGACCTGCAAGTGGAGTGCCAACTGATTTTGAATTTGACATATTAAACATCTCCAATACCTTCTCAATGTACTTTTGCTGTGATAACCACAATTTGCAATTCTTCCTGTCACGTGTAATTCTCATGCCAAGGATTTGCTTTGCAGGGCCTAAATCCTTCATTGCAAAGGACTTGCTCAACTCTCTTTTCAAATGCTCAATCTCTTTCATGTCATGACCAACAATCAACATGTCATCGACATAGAGCAAAAGGATAATAAATTTCTCACTAGGGAGTTTCTTCACAAACACACAATGATCAAAAGAAGTTTTTGCATACCCATGATCCACCATGAAATAATCAAATTTCTTGTACCATTGCCTTGGAGCTTGTTTAAGACCATACAAGCTCTTCTTCAATCTGCAGACAAGCTTCTCTTTACCTTTGACTGCAAAACCATCAGGCTGCTCCATGTAAATTTCTTCCTCCAAATCACCATGGAGAAATGCGGTCTTCACATCAAGTTGTTCAACCTTTAAATTAAAACTAGCTGCCAAACCAAGTACAACTCGGATTGAAGACATCTTGACCACAGGTGAAAAAATTTCTTCAAAATCTATACCTTTCTTCTGACTGAATCCTTTCACAACCAACCTTGCCTTATACCTTGGTTGTGATCTATTTTCTTCTGACTTCAATTTAAACACCCATTTATTCTTGAGTGATCTCTTACCATTAGGTAGCTTCACTAGCTCAAATGTGTGGTTCTCATGTAAGGATTTCATCTCTTCTTGCATGGCTTTGTACCACTTGTCTTTCTCTTCATGTGACATAGCTTCTTCAAAGCTTTGTGGCTCTCCCCCATCAGTAAGCATCACATATTCATGAGGAGGATATCTCTGTGAAGGGTGGTGCTCTCTGGTGGATCTTCTCACTGGCTTAGGAGGTTGCTCTGGTGGAATTTGTTCAATTTCTTCATCAACTTGGGGCTCAGGAACATCACCTGCATTGTCCACATCTGCATTCACATCTCCCCCATTATTATTGACTATGGTAGGAGGCTCTGGATCAACATCAATGTACCTGTGGATAACCTGTTTCTGCTTTTCATTCTTGTCAATATCTTCGATGGTTTGGTCTTCAACAAAAATAGCATCTCGACTTCTAAGAACTTTCCTGTTAACCGGATCCCAAAACCTGTAACCAAAGTCTTCACGGCCATAACCCAAAAAGATACACTGTTTTGATTTACCATCAAGCTTAGACCTCTCATCTCTGGGAATATGAACAAATGCCTTGCAGCCAAACACTCTCAAGTGATTATATGAGACATCTTTCCCTCGCCACACCCTCTCTGGAACATCACCATCAAGAGGAATTGAAGGAGAAAGGTTGATTAAATCTACTGCAGTTCTCAATGCTTCACTCCAGAATGATTTAGACAATTTTGCATGGGAGAGCATGCATCTGATTCTGTCATTAATTGTGCGATTCATTCTCTCTGCAACTCTGTTGTGCTGTGGAGTCTTTGGGACTGTCTTCTCAAGCCTGATTCCATGTTCCCTGCAATAATGCTCAAATGGCCCCCTGTATTCACCACCATTATCTGCTCTGACACACTTCAACATTTTACCTGTTTCTCTTTCCACACTTGCATGGAAGTGTTTGAACATATCAAGTACCTGATCTTTGGATTTCAAAACAAAAGCCCACACTTTTCTCGAGTGATCGTCAATAAATGTCACAAAATAAGAATAGCCACTAAGGGATTTAACATCCATAGAGAAAACATCAGTGTGAACTAAATCCAAGATATGTGACCTCCTGTGAGGAGGGTGAGTGCGGAAAGAAACTCTATGTTGTTTACCAACAATACAACCAGAGCAAGTTTTGAGAGGTGTACCTTTCACCGAAAGCAGATTTTTCCTTGCAAGAGTGTCAAGTCCCTTCTCACTCAAGTTACCGAGCCGCTTATGCCATAGCTCTGTAGAACAATCCTCAATTGCATTCACTTGAGGGGCACACAATTTTGTAGAAGTCCAGTAAAGGGTGTTTTTCTTCACTCCCTTTGCTACCACCAAAGTACCCTTGGTGCACTTCTATTTACCATCACCAAAGGAATTATGGTAACCATCATCATCAAGTACCTGTACTGAAATCAAGCTGAGGCGCATATCAGGAATATGCCTAACGTTTTTCAAGTGCAGCTTGCATCCAACATTAGTTTCTACCCAGATATCTCCAATGCCAGCAACCTTGCTTACCCCTTGATTACCCATCTTTACCTGCCCAAAATCTCCAGCAGTATAGGATAAAAAATACTCACGATGAGGAGTAATATGATATGAGGCAGCAGAATCAACAACCCATTCATAATCTTGGCATGCGAGATTAACTGAATCATCTTCGTAAACAACAACAACTTCACCATCAGATACAACTGCAGCTGTGTCTTTATCTTCTTTATTATCATTGCCTCTTTCCCTTGATTTCTCCCTCTTAAGCAACCTGCATTCTCTTATCATATGACCTGCTTTGTTACAATGATAGCACCTGATGTCTTTCCTGGGCCTTGATTGTCCTCTTGACTTGCTTCTGTCATTAGATTTATGAGAGGTTCTATGTTGGCTTCTCCCCCGTGACTCAATAACCAAGGCTTTTGTGTGAGTCGATGAACTAGTCGTATTGTTTCCCTTCCTCCTGATTTCTTCATTCAATAGGGCTTCTTTCACAGTATCAAAAGTCATATTGCCATTAGTGGAATTGCTCAGAGATACCACCAATGTTTCCCAACTGTCTGGTAATGAGCTAAGCAACAACAAAGCAAGTAGCTCATCAGGAAGTTTAATCTCAATAGTAGTCAGCTGATTCACAAGATTCTGAAAACTGCTCATATGCTCTGCCACTGAAGAACCATCCCTGTACTTCAGATTTACCAGTCTCCGAAATATAAATACCTTGTTCTGTGCATTCTTGGACTCAAACATGTCCTTCAATTTCTTCCACAGGCTGTGGGCACTAGTCTCACTAGACACATGATGATAAATGCTCTGATCTATCCATTGCCTGATCATGCCAATTGTTTTTCTGTTTGCCTTTGTCCATTCTGCAACAGATTTATCATCTGGCTTAGTACCGTCTCCATCAATGGGATCATACAAGTCCTTACAGAACAACAAGTCTTCCATACGGGATTTCCAAATAGAATAATTGGAAGAATCCAATTTCAGCATAGTACCAGCCATATCACCTTCACCCATTTTAATAGCACCAAACAGAACTCCAACCAAGGAGCTCTGATACCACTGTTGGGAAAGAAAACAAATATAGGAGATAGTAATAAAATGCGGAAGCTGTTGGATCAACTTTTCCCCTTTTCCCCTGCGTGCAGTTAAAAATAAGCTCCAAACAAAATTGCTCAGACAACGATAATAAGTACAAAATAGAGCAAATAAAATAAGGAGACACCAGAATTATTAACGTGGGAAAAAACCCTTAAAGGGAAAACAACCCACGGGACCAAGCCAGTAAATCTTTCACTAATAAATTAATGGGTACACCACAAGTCCTCTTGGAACCACCAGGGATAACAACAGAGAAAAAATAATCTTCACCGTACAAGGTGGATATCAAATCTACGACACAACAATAAAGAGACACTCTTTGATATTTTTCTCTCTGTCTGTAGAGTCGCTCACGTTGCAGCTCTCTTCCCTCTTACTGCTGTTATATCTAACACACAAGGGTTAAAACCCTTTTAACCATTTCATGGGCTTTGACCCACAAAGCTAATTCCTTTTTTTTTTCTTCTTTTTTTTTAATAATAATAATAATAAGATTAAGTGGGCTCATTTATTTTGGTGATCCACACAACATTTTATACTTAGCCTCAGAGTCTCTTTTATCTTTTATTATATATTATATTTGCTTATAAAAAAGTTTAAGTAAATTAGAAGTCGTGAGTTACATGTTTGGTAATTAAGGGAGAAAATAATACTAATCATCAACAATTAATTATTAAAAAAATGAATTATAGAAGATTTCTTCAGAGTGTTATTTATTTCTTTTTCTTAAATCAAAGTATCATCAAATAATAGTGAAAATATTATTATTAATTTTTATGTAAATCAATGTTAATTAAAGCCATATATATTATACAAATCAATATGAATTATAATTTTACACAAATAAAATCCAAATTATTCTCATGCCGCAATACCGAGACTTATTTTCATGTAATATCAGAAGCAGAACACAGTCACCACCAATCTTTGCAAGCAATGTTCATGGCTTGTTTAAAAAACTACTATTTCGAATGCTTGATGTAGCTCTCATTTTCTTCTTAGCAATCTGAATAAAATCATCAAACTGCTTCCTTTGATGATTATTTTCCTCGTGATCTGGTGCTGCTGGTGAAGGTTTGCTACTCTGGTCCCTATCAATATTGGACTTGGACATTGTAACAGTTCTGATTTTATACTTAGCACGTCGAATAAAATTGTTGAATGTTTCATCACTATCAAGTGGTGTCTCTATCATGTGTTTCGCTATATACTCATCATCGGTTGTTGCACCTTTGATTCTATGACCTTGTTCTGTTGGAAAACGCATCATGTTTTGTTTCGGAACATGATCAATGGAAGAAACCTTTGTTGTCTTCCCATGGACTTTTGAGTTTGATGAGTTTTTGTTACCCATAGCTTGGTTTTGCAAGATGAAGAGTTTGGTTTAAGCTAAGAAGATTGTAGGGTTAACTGTTAAGTGCAATTTGAAAGAGGAGCAATAAGCTTCTTTTATAGTGTGTGTTTTGTTTATTATAAAATTGTATTTAAAAATGCTATATTTGGGTTAAGAACATAAGATTCTTAAAGAGATAACTTTTTCTAAATTAATTAACAAGAATATATAACTATTACAATTTGATGGCTATTTAATTGCCAATTTTGGCGGCATAATAAGAGATTGATGTTTTCAAAGGAACAGATAGATGGGATCAGATTCTATAAAGACTTGAAGAAATCTACAAAATTCATTTTACAACTTGCAATTTACAATCATATCATATCATTCTAGTTTCCTATGTAGTAGCTGTGAAGCATGGTTACATTTTTTTGTTTGGAATGTCATGTTATTGTTAATTATTGTCTTTCCGATACACCTTTGTAAGTGCAGATAGAATATAAGTGGTACACACCAAAACAAAAACAAAAAAGATTTTTAAGCTTGAACACTTGATTATTAAAGCCATGTTTTATAGAATTAAGTCATTGACTTTGAATAAATATTGACATCGTAATCGTAAAATCCACCATTGTTATTGGTATAGAATCAGTGAGGTTCAGTCGAATTCTCCTATGAATTGTGTCTATTATTTCTCCTTACACTTTTTTCTTTATATAGGGGTTTTGATCCATCTTACACGAAAGCTCATCAGAGTCAAATTAAGGTAATTTTTCGTGATTCATAGAATTACTTAATAATGATTGAGAATCCAGCTTAATTGCCTAAATCTCAAATCATGATATCCTTGACTAGTCATAAATGTGTTCATCATATATCAATAAAATATTAGCCTGCACGAAATTTAAATCAGCATAACCTACCTAACCCATTAGCTATTTCAGTCTGATCTTTCTCTTTTTGATACAAAATTTGTTAGGAAGAACTCCACTGGGTCGGAATTGAAATCTGATCCATCAGAGAACCTAACCCAAGAAATCACACATGTAAACATCACCTTTAGCATGATACGTGTTAGAGAGAAATGTTTTCCTAATACATTCCAAGAAACTAGACATGTACAAAACCTCTCAATCATAAGTCGTGGAAGGGCGAAAAGTTTTCCTAAGGCATACAATGGAACAAGACATGTACACAGTCTCCTCAATCATAAGTCACGTATCCTAAGACATTCTAAGAAACCATACATGTGCACATCCGCTCAATCATGAGTCGTGTAAATGAAAAATGTTTTCCTAAGGAATTCCAAAAAACTAGACATGTATATAGCTCTTCGAGCATGAGCTATGCACGGGCGAAATACTTTCTTGAGACATATTAACAATTTTATAACGCTCCTTATGGGGCGATCCTTCTTGGGAGAGCTTGCCCTAGTATTTCTGGATGTGGATGAAGGAAAATCGAGATATAAAGTGCAACGGAAAACAAAATTCCCTTAAGTTGACCCTTAAGACTGATGCATGACCAATGATAGAAAATGTTATCTTTTGTGGCGATTAACATCTTTGAAGCAAAACCGTATGAACGATCACAAACAATGAACGAAGAACAACGTCTCTAGTTAGTCAAAACGAACAGAGTGCCTTCAATTTCAGTGTTAATTACGACGAATGGACACACACACATAGTGTGTGTGTGTGTTCAAAATCGAACTTCATCAAGTGTAAAAGTTTCTAGGCAGGCGTTTTATTTATAGAATCACTTATGTGGAGTGCAAGCTAAAAAAATCCAGTTAAGTACACCTTACCTTACGTTGTACTATATTTCACTTAAGCGAACGATATCTTACGATATTCATATTCCACTAAAGTGCATCATACCTTACGGTGTTATACAATTCACTTAAGCGCACCTTACCTTACGGTGTTTTGTAATACTCTTAAGTACATTATACCTTATGGTGTTCCATATTTCACTCTCTCACTAATTTGTCCTTATGTGTGTGATCCTGTAGGTTATTGTGACGTTGAAAATTATAATAAGTCACATATTTAATATAATAAACTTTGAGCAGTATCTCACAACACATCAATATTACCTAAGTCATGAAAATGTCATGTGATATTGACAAAACCTTTATGTGATAATGCTTATGCACAATTATATGTTTTCTCTCATGTCTATATCAAACACAAGGCATAAACTATGTCACCTTTGTCTAATTTAATATTAGACCCTTAGACATATATCTTGTTATGCAAGATGGGAAAATTCCATCTAGGCCACTCATATTGCTCAACATGATTTGTAGAGTACCCATCAACCATCTTTAAGGTCATCGTGTTACGGAAAAATGTTTGATTGACAATAAAGTACTCAACTCCACATCTAGGATCAATAGTGATTCAGGTCGAAGGGTGGTATACACCATTATCACCTTGAGAATAACTTATGACACTTGCATAACATTCTATGTAGTATTCTCATGGTGGGTCAATCTAGTATGTATATTACTTCCAATATTAGCTATGTGAAAAACAGATAACTCTTTATCCATGATCCATGAGATATGCCTATCAGTCTATCCACATAATAGTCTCAATGTTTTAATGTTATCCAATTTTGCAATAAATCTTGACTATGAATAATTTAAAAATAGTGTTCTTATGTTTAATGGGATCTCATGATTAAGTAACACTTAATGTTTCATTAAATGGACTAGCTATTATAGGTACATTATTATTTTGGAAAGACAAATATAACAAAGAGTTGTCTTTTACTATTAGTTAATAATTTAGTACAAGTACCAAGTTTTAATAAAACTAATGGCCCTAGGGCTTACACCAACAATGGAGGTCTTTGACCATGTCCAATTAATGTTTGTTGGTTGCTTAATCTCCTTTGTGAATATCCTTTTTGCATTGGTTTCGGGCTACAAACACCCATCCAATCCAAGATATGGGTTCATTCGACCCCACTTTAAAGGAGGGATTATTAACTCGAGATAGGATCTTGATAGTCTTGTGTGAGCTTGATACTCTTGGACATGCTCACAATACTTTGGGCGAACCCTTTATGCTTTAATGGGCTCAAGATACTTCAGGCGAACCACTAACACTTTGGGAAATCTATCATACTTTTGTCTATATTTTTTATTGTGATATTTAAGTACCTATGTTCAAAAAATGGATTAAAGGTACATAGTCCCCCAATAATGAGACGCATAGGGGGAAAGTGCTTTAAGTAAGATCAGTCCTCCTTCAAAAGTGAACTCCCCCTAATGGTCAGGCTTTTTGCTTTTGTGCCTATTTGAGTAATCTCACCCCATTATTGGGGCCTTTTTGTAACTTCTAAACTTGTTCATAAATGACTTTTAGTCTTATTCCATCCTTTTTTAATATTTTTTCTGAAGTGGATCCTAAATTTATTTGCATGCATTTTTTTTCTATTGACAATCGTTTAATATCCAATGCCCTGTTAGGTCTCGCTGTGAACTTAATAGTGCTACATGTCTCTTCTATGTACCCCATAGGGCTTCATATTCCCACTAAGGTTCTAGTTAATCCTTCAAAGGGCTTCAGAGTAAGACTAAGGATCATATGTATAGTGTTATATTTGTGAGATTCCCAAATAGGGGTGACGTGAAGGTCCTCTCCTAGCATGACATTGCTCGGGCGATATCTTTACAAAATGCAAAATATGGGGGATCGCCTAGGGTTAGGTGACGTGTATGCATTATTACCCTCCCATTAGTCATATGATAAGAATTCATACCATGACTCCCTGTAAAGTGGGAAATCAACAATCTCCCCTAGTCAAGGGGAAGTGGTTACTACCTCGAAGGATTTCTAAATCCTAGACCCAAAGAGTCCCTAAATTTACTTCTCCCCTAATGGGAGAAGAAACATATCATAACTTACATACTCATATCTAAGAATTACGCTAACATATGGAACCTCTCACCACACATGAGCAAATCCTCTAAAACCATTATAGCATAACCATACATAGCTTATTGCCGTTGTGGGTAAGCCCTAATTACTTGAAACTGCTATAAACCTACTAAGGCCTATTAATATCCTTACCCTTATATGGATATCATTCACAAGTGTACTTTTTATCATGAAAATCATTTTTGAGATATACCTTTTTGAAAAAATTGTAATTTTGACTATGTTTTAATCTAATTTGTATTAATTGTTTATTGATTTGTTAATTTAATTACTAATTGCATAAAAAAATTTTAGACACTTACTTCTATTACCAGCTTTCTTGATAGGGAGCATCTATTTCTTGGATCATGGTGCGAGTCATTTCAATTTCTTGGATCATGGTGCGAGTCATTTCTTGCAAAGTCCTATTCTTCCTTTCCACTACTCCATTCTGTTGTGGAGTTCTGGGACAGGAGAAATCATAGGAAATGTCATGGGAATCAAAGAGATTCTCAAAGTATTTATTCTCGAATTCTCCACCATGACCACTTATGACTCTGACAATTTTGCAATCCTTCTCTGTTTCCACTTTTATTCTAAATATTGAGATATGGGTGTAAGGACTAAGTTCCTCTGTTTTGAAAGTTATCCCACTGTTGCATATCTCGTTGAGTAGGTGTTGTATGTTTTAATTTCATGGATAATGTGACATACCTCTTTTATACCATGTTTTAAATATACTCTGATAAATGAATTTTTATTATGTGCCTAAATGATTTAATTGATTATTTGGCAGTATAGAAAAGGGGTGTTACATTAAGTGGTATCAGAGCCAGTGTTGAGTCAGTTGTGTCTGTCTCGTTGTTGTGTTGGTTAAACGGTTGTTTAACCTTGTTGTTATTTTTGGGAATAATTGGAATATGGCTGGTCATAATGACAATGTGATGGTTGTTGCATTGGAGGCAATGGTTGGGGCGGTGCAGGGTGCGCCGAATGTGAATGCTAACAATGAGTTTAGGAAGAATCAACCACCGGTCTTCAAAGGAAGATTTGATCCCGATGGTGGCCAAATTTGGTTGAAAGAGA